GTTCTAATGCATTTTTGGGCTTGGTTGTACCCTGCCCACAGCCTGTTAGGATTAGGATGGGCTGTGCATGTTATAAAATAAATAAAATAAATAAAAGGAATAATAAGTAATCTCTTAATAATGGTAATGATAATGAGAACAATGAGGAGGAGGAGGATAATTAAAGGTCTTCTCCTCCTCACAGGCCTGCAGCCAGGGAAATGTTAGTGGTCTTTCCTCCTTACTTTTTATTACATTAAAAAAAAAAACCCTAAACAGATAATGTCCAATTTTTGGTGCCACCCCCCCCCCAACATTTTAGTCTCTGGTAGGGCAAATCTCAGTCAGAAGGGAGAAAGAACAGTTTTGATCTTTGAAAAATGGACTGTAGAGAAAGAGGTGAGCAGGGTCGCTCCGGGGGGTCAAAAAAGTCAAGATGGTTGCTGTAATCATGGCCTGTCCTTTTTTAAATGTGTGTTTTAATACTATCCACACATCTGGACGGTGTTTTTTATTACCTTCCCTCCCTTTTGACTATACATTTCCCTCTTTCTCCATACAGCCAGGTTGGAAACATTCTCTAAGTCGATATCAAGGCACCCTACGTTGTTGAACGTCTCGTTCCAACCTACCTACTTGGTTTTAATGTCTTTGCAGCATGTTTCTCCCTTGCAAACTTCAGAATATCCTCTCTTTTCCTCTCCCCCACCCCCCAGGATTAAATCTTTATGCAAACCTCAAAGCCAGGTCACCGATCCAGGTTCCAGCTGTTTCCAGCTGTTTCCAGCTGCTTGGGTCAAACTGTGCGTCGATGAACGATATCGCTCTTGTCATTAAGGCAAATACATTCAAGCCGTTGACAGTGACCTGCAACTCCACTTCTGGTGCTTGTTTATTGAACGTTTTGTCCCTTTATTTCATTTCTCACTTCTTTGCTTTTTGGACCTGCTGCATGATGGCGAACGCTTTCAGTGGAAATTGGAACAAAGGAAACGAAATTAAGTCGAGGATGGAGAGATTCTGCACAGACCCTTTCTCGCCTCCTGTGGCAGCCGGAACGGCACTGCCACAGTCACCATCTTGACTTTTTTGACCATGCTCTGCAGACATCCTTGCCTGGCTGATAAAGTTAGGGAGGGAGCCAATGCTAGGAAGGCTGTGCTATGTGTTAATTGGCCCATTCCTTATTAATCACATTATGCAATTTGCATTCTTAAAGAAGGCCAAGCAAACAGGGAGGAAATTAACTTGGCATATTGTCTGGAATTACAAGGAACAGATTTTCTCCAAAGGCAGAAAAAAAAAAAACTAAGTTGGGGCCACTTCCATGAGTTTCTTCTCATGGAAGCATGTCTGGGTTTTATTTTTATTTATTTATTTAGTGGATTTATATTGCCGCCCCCCTCAAATACGTGACTCTGGGCGGCTAACGATATTAAAAACGATTAAAAGAAACAAAGAATATAAAACCCATAGCAGCCGGGAAAAACAATGATAAAGCCACCATCAAACTTTCAATATAACGAAGAAACGGGCTTTGTCCCACACCCAGGCTTGAGCGCAGAGCCCCGTCTTCAGGGCCTTTACTCTACTGCTATTTATTGCAGAATTAAAAAAATTACGTTTATGGGTGATGAGCAGAAACATATCGGTGAAAGGGGATGCTATACATATTATCCTTAATAACTGAGGTGCAGAAGGAGGGCTACGGGAAAGCCTATTTCAGAACACTGACTCTTTTAAACTATTCTTTGAGCCGGGCAGCATTCTTAATATCTCTGATGTTATTTGCCCTGATCTCCTGAAATAAAATAGAGCAGATATTTTTCCTCCCAGAATCTAAGGGAAGAAACCTCCTGTTGCTTAGGTGCTGGAGTTACAACTTGAACTTCTCTTCAAGTTTACTTCAACATATAACTCTCCAAATATAGCAAGAAGGAAGGAGTGGACCTGGAGGAGGAGGAGGAGAATTGAGTGAGGAACACCCATGTAAACTGAAAAGACTTGTTAGAGCAGGGTTAGTTTCCTCTTCTCAGCCATTCCAGGCAGACCAAAGTACTGTGGGCATTAAACTTTATTTGGCTTGGTAATTTCTCCCGTCTTTGGCTCGGGCTCCTGGCATCCGCCCGCGGCTGATCTGCAGAATGAATTCCTGCCAAGTTCTGCGAGACGCCCCCGTCCGAAAAGTTGCCCTCTTTGGAGGCACCCATGGGAATGAGCTGTCGGGGGTGTTCCTGGTCAAGCACTGGCAGGAAGATGGAGCCGAGATCCAAAGACCCGGGTTGGAGGCACGGCCTTTCCTCGCCAACCCAAGAGCGGTGGAAAAATGCTGCAGATACGTAGACTGTGACCTGAACCGGGTTTTCGATTCTGAAAATCTTGGGTAAGCCGAACCGTGCTGGTGCGTGAGTGCACGCGGGCAGAGCTCTATGGTGCATTTGGGTGAGCGTAGCCAACGGGGCACCTCTTCGTTCTCTAAGTCTTGCCCTGATCTAGCTGAAACTCAGAGCAGTGGCGCATGGGTCTCGGGGAGTTTTAGATTAAGCTCCAGAATTCCCATATGTGCTTTCAGATGGATGGGTGTGGCAGAACTGCAGTGCAGAAGGAAAAGGGTGTGAACATTTGTTTGCACATACGGAGTTCTCCCGATTAAATTGCAATTCACCCCAAAGGGGGCAATCCTGAATCCTAGGCAGAAGAATGAATCCTCCTCCATTTCAGCATTCTCACCAAATGCTCCATTACTGCATTCCCAGGGAACTGGAACCAACTCGGCCATTTAATGCTAGTCTAGGTGGGGAGAAACATAGTCTTCTGTTCCAGTAAATGTGTATGCCTGCAAGAATGTCATACAGGCTGTGCAATCTTTCCTGCCACTGTTGCATGCTCCAAAGGATTGGGAAAAATTGGGAATCAAAGCTACTCTTCTTTAACCCCTGACATGCTCTGTTTTCCTCTTTATCCTGATCGATGTTTCCAGCATTAGAAATATGCACTCTCGGAGCTGGTAGGGACGGCAATGTGAGGATTCCAGCACTGAATTTCCTCCTCCAAAGTCATAACCCTTGGAGGGGAAAATCCTGTTTTTACAGCCCTTGAAAATGCTTTCCTTGGCTTGCAGCCTCCTGTTAAATTCCAAGAATGGGAGCAACCAATTCCGTGCAACTGAGGATTATTTGGATTTGGGATGCATGCCAAGATATACGTTAGATTAGTTTTTAAAAAGAAGATTTTTCCAAAACAGCTTGCTAGTTGCATTTCATTGCCCTTGAACGCCTAACATAGATCTTATAGCAAAAGTTGTCTATTTCACTCCATTGCAAGCAGAACAAACACACGAAAAGGGATCCTTGTAGTTCATAGCACAATACATCACAGGAAATAAACGCACGCACACCAAATTCAACGGGTGCAATTAGATTTCTCATTCCTTTAAAAATGCATAGGAAATGAACTGCTTGCCAGCCTGAAAGTTGAATGGGAATCAATACTGTTCTGCAGTTTGTGTATAAAATTAAACTCCTGTGATTAATCTGAGATCTCGGTGTCATTTTTCACCTGCGTCCTGAAATGAACTCGAAGAGGCATTTAGCGTTGTGGGACATTGAGAATGGTATGCGCGGACAGCATTAGCAGCAGCAAACTCTCAAATATAGGAAGATCAATCTATTAAAATATAAATAGGAGGATTTTAAATAGGTATTACCAGTCGATTTTATGAAAGTTTTTAAGAAAGAGTGTATGGTGTAATGCGACATGCAAAACAACCGACTAATTTATAAGTTTCATTGATGTACTTGTAATGAAGGGGGAACCACTGATAATGCTTAGGAATGTGCTGTTAATGCATAAAACAAGCAGTTGAACTTCCAGGTAGTCAACTATTAATTTGGACTTTGGTATAAGAACAAGTAGCTTTGACATACTGACTGGGACAGCCAGCAGTCACTGGCTTTGCTCGGTGCAAAAGATAATGAAAAACATCTCCAGTTACATCTTAAGATATTTTTCTTACTTGGTATCTTATTATTTCACATAGGCGCCCTCATCCGGGACAATCCTAGATCGATAAGGTGCAAGATATTTCTTCTGATCCAATATGGGGGTGTCTGGGGCTCTCCCCCCCGAAATATTCTCAGCCCTGGCACAATAAGATGGGACTTGGGCTGAGTCCAGAAGCTGCCGTTGGTCCAGAATGCAGCAGCACAGGTAGATATGGTCATATCACACGTGATACGGGCATATCAGGTCCATGTAACACTTTGCACGCTGGGCTGGTTCCCAGCAGGCTTCCAGGTGCAATTCAAGATGCTGGGTATCACCTATAAAGCCCTACATGGTACAGTCAGGCTACTTGTGGGACCTCCTGTCTCCAACGATCTCTACCCGTCTCACGTGTCCTTCCAGTGCCGTTTGGTGGGACCAGGGAAGCCCGTCTTCTCTGTGGCAGCTCCCACTCTCTGGAATGATCTCCTCCCACCCCGAGATTCGACTGGCCAAAACCAGGTTAGTCTTTCGGAAAGCATTAAAAACTTGGCTTTCCCTCTAGGCATTTGGGCCAGATTGTGAGATGTTCCCCTCTTGGATGGTGCTTGTCGGAAGGAATGATTCTGAATGTATTTTTTACTTGGTCCTTGCTATTATTGCTGTTTTTATTGTTGCCATTTTATGGAAGCTCCCCTAAGTGGCTTTGGAGACTTGAGTAACCATCTATGTTGGATCAATAAATCACTAAATCAGATATCTCTTCCCAAAAAAATACTTGATAAATATTGAGCAGCTGTGATACGGACAGCAAACTTATTCTGAGGCCATGAATCCTTTCGCTGCCCAAACAGGAACAGACCCCATGAAATCTGTTTTCTTTGGCTGTGCAATTGTTTAGTGCCACTTATACAGGTAAAAAAAGGAACCAGGTAGATTGGAGAATTGCTGAGGTCTTGGTAGGAGAAGTCCTGGCACGCCATCATTTTCTTGCATATCCTACTAGTACAGGGTTCATCAATCTCAGCAACTTGAAGATGGGTGGACTTCCACTCCCAGAATTCCCCAGCCAGCATGCTTGAAGATGGGTGGACTTCCACTCCCAGAATTCCCCAGCCAGCATGCTTGAAGATGGGTGGGTTTCTACTCCCAGAATTCCCCAGCTAGCATGCTTGAAGCTGGGTGGACTTCCACTCCCAGAATTCCCCAGC